TCTGATATGGGTAACCCGGCAGTCCAGCGCAGCATTTTTGTCTCCATTACACTGAGACGAGCCTCAACCTCTTTAGTCACGGGCCAGCACTCTGCTCCGTAAATGGCGACTGGTCGGACGACGGTTCTGTAGATCTTAGATTTCAGTCGCTCTGGTATTTTCTTATCGCAGAGAACGCCGGTCATCGAGCGCCACTTGGACCAAGCTGCACTCACCCGGGAGTTTACTTCAGAGATCAGGCTGCCGTCGGACGCGATTGCCGACCCAAGATACTTGAATGATGTTGTACGTGTGAGCTCAGTGCCATTGATCTTAATAGAGCCTGGCTCACTCAAATCGGTGGTCAAGTACTCTGTCTTCTTCACGTTCAAGCCTGAGCCCAAACATAGCCAGACGGTCGGACCAGGTTTGCACCTGTTGCTCGAGCAGATGTTTGTCATCACATGCGAGCATCACGTCATCAGCATAAAGAAGCGTCCATGGAGCGGGCTTCTGAAGATCACGCGAAATGGCATCCATAACGACAATGAATAGGAGTGGGGAAAGCGCGGAGCCCTGGTGCACACCGACCGAGATGGGGAATTCCATCGAAGTACCTGCCACCGTTTGCACCCGACTCCTTGAGTTCGAGTAAAGTATGCGCACCCACTCAATGAGCTCTTCAGGAACGTCGTGCTGTCGTAAAGCATACCATATGACTTCTCGAGGAACGCGATCAAAAGCCTTCTCCAGGTCCAGTTCTCGCGATGTCTTTCCAACAGAAGGCGGGTGGCATGTATTGCATCGATGGTGCCGCAGCCTGACACAAATCCACACTGGTTGATGGAAAGCTGCACGATGTCACGAATACGGCCGTCCAAAATTCGCTCAAAGATCTTCATGCTGTGCGAGAGCAGGCGGATTGGACGGTAGCTCGTACAGTCAGCAGGGCTGCCTTTCTTCTTCCAAATCGGAATCGTTGTGCTCTGCTGCCAACTCTCAGGCACCTTTCTCTCTGCTACGATCTGGTTGAAAAACTTGGTCAACCATTCAGCAGGACACCAGCATTTTGACTTCCATATGTCGGCCGCCAAATCATCGGGACCTGTAGCCTTTTCCTGACTTCATCTTCTTCAGAGCCCTTTCCGTTTCCTCCACGGTTATTCTCTGCACAGGACCTTGCACTGGCGGGACATAAGGGACTGCTGGATGGGCAAATTCTACGGCTGAGATGTTCTCGAAGTAATCATGCCATCGCTTCACTGCTTTCTTGCGGTCCGTCAGGAGGTTACCATTTTCGTCGTTGATGCCGAAAAACTTCTCGATGTCCTCGGACTGGCGATGGCGGGCTTTGGCGAGACGATAAACATAGCGTTCACCATCGCGCGTCTCGAGCTTCTCGCTAACATCAGCAAAGTGCAGCTTTTGCGGCAGCAACGGCCTTCTTTGTCGCATTCTTAGCTGCCTGATAACTTCGCCAGTTGTCGACAGTCTTATCGCCAAGAAATACGTGGTATAGCCTCTTCTTCTCACGTACTTTTTCTTTAACATCGTCCGTCCATAGCCACGCTTGCTTGTCGATCTTCCGTCGCCCAGGTTTTGTTGTGCCGAGTTCGGAACGGGCAGAACGGATTATCGCCTCGGCAGCACTTTTCCAAGTTTCATCAACAGTAGTGACTGCCGGCAACTGAATGTTGGATATCACGACCGCCTCCTTCTCTTTCAAACGCCACCACTTGATTCTCGCTGGTCCACACCGCTCGATTTGTTTCAATTTCGGAGGAGCGATCTTCAGCGTGCAAATCAGCGGTCGATGTTGCGTGGTGACAGTCTCATACGGCACCGCCTTTGCGTCTGTTACGAGCCCTCGATCGCGTTGCCTGACGAGGACATAGTCGATTTGCGTTCTGGTAGTACCGCTATAGAAGGTGATGAGGTGGGAATCACGTTTCCGGAAATTCGTATTCACGATGGTGAGATCGTGCGAATTTGCGTACTCAAGAATTCGTTCGCCATCGTTGTTACGTGACCCATATCCAAATCCACCATGACAGTTGTACCCGTCTTTCGCAGTGCCGACGTGACCGTTAAGGTCACCTGCGACAATGACAGCCTCTTCTGACGGTACATCTGCGGTCTTTTCAGCAAGGTCCAGAACTCGTCCTTGGCTCGCTCAGAGCAGCCAGTCTGCGGAGCATATGCAGAAAAGAAGTGGTATCGCTTACGTTCGATGACGACAACAATCTTCATTAGACGGTCGTCATAACGATCAACGCTTACGATCGAGTCACGGAAGCGGTCAGAAACAACTACTCCGACCCCTCTGGTCGAAAGAACGGCTTTAAAGCCTCGTCCAATATCTCTCGATCTGCAGCAGGACCACCTCGTTTCCTGCACGGCACAGAAATCAATCCGTCGGCGCTCTAGAGCTTCTGCTAACTCGTACGAGCGGCCCGTTAACGTGCCAACATTTAACGTCGCAACGCGAATCTTCCATGCGTTGCAGGACTTTTGGACTAGCCTAGTTGCCCCCCGACGCCGTCCTTGCACCGGAGACCCTCGCATACTTTTCACACTCGCCGGGCTTTGCGAGTGCGCGTCGGCTCCCGCGGACGCCGTAGCATTATCTCGGAAATCATATGACGTCATTAACCATGAAGATGTGACGTGGATATTCGTAGGCCGGCCTGTCACGGGGGCCTGTCGCCTGCATTCGAATGTCCGCGATCAGCTCAGCCTCACAAAAGTGAGCAGTTCCCAGTGGCACCACTTGGAGGAGCGGACCACCACCACCTACATGTCCGTCCCTACAATATCCGCAAAAATTCGTTTCAAAAACAGCGTTGGTTTATCCTATGAAAATACTTCCCTTGCTACAGGGTCCCCACATACCGCCACGAAAGAAATACACACTTCTGCCTAACCGCGCCTGTTATCGAGTCTTCTTCGAAACTTAATGTTTCAACAGAACAATATTTCGTGCGTGTGGAAGAATCCAAAATTCATTCTTGAATGGAAAATGTGGAAGGCTCCATGCATGGCAGGAAACCATGGCGAAAATTGAGTCGATTTTTGCATAACGATGCAGCGCAGCTGAATGGACTAGGGCCCGGTTTGGCGCTGATACCGCGTCTGCGCTGAGTTTGAGACCAAATACAATTTCAGGGAATGATGGCGTAGGTACAAAGAAATCGGCGCTTACTCGTGACTCAACCTACATATACCACGTGATAAAGAGATTTCACCTGTCGTCAACCGACTTGGTCGACTTTCAATTGCTCGTGAAAAAAACAGTTTCCATGCTCTTTCTGTAGAGATTATCACTGTGTCTATGAAGGCGTTATAACTCATTACAACTACATTATATGATACATATCGAGGACTATGATTATAATTTCCGCTCACCAACAAACGGCCACGGCCAAAATCCACACTAAAGGCGTCTCAATGCCAGCGCTTAAGGCCTGCGCACCAAATCCGCTCGACAGGGGCCACGTCGCCGAACCTCCCGCCATAGGGACCACGGGCCAAATCCGCGGGGCCAAATCCGCCGCCGTAGGGGCCACGGCCGAATCCACCGCCGTACGGCCTGCGGCCAAATCCACCACCTGGAACTGAATTATGAGATATGAAGAAAAACAGAATAATTCTCAAAAACACTTCTGAAAAGTTTTCGGTCGTTGTAAGAGTGGATACTCACTTGTGCAGGGAATCGTAAAACTCAGCGCGTCGTGACAGGCGATTTTTGATGTGATCGCCTTTCAGGAGAGCTTCAATAAGCGCAAATAATCGGCTATTCTTCTCCGTGTTGCGCATTTCTTAGATCACCGCTTTTTGTCGACTTTTCCATTTATTCATCAGCTTCTCTCGAAGGTAGTGAGGGCCATATTTGGTTGGGCGGCGCCATTGGTTGGAAGGTATTTGAAGGCAGTCTGACGCTACCACATAGCAAGCTGCGAAGTGTGATCGGACCGCTACCCAAAGTAGCGTCGCTTCCCAGCTATCGCCCTCATTGACTTTAAATACACTCTCACACCACACTCTGGCTTCCACGGACTCAACCTTGAGAAATTTTGAGATGTCTGCAATTTTGTATGTGAATTTCCTGACTTTTTTCTTAAAGAAATTTATTCTCTTGTCTGTCATGTTGAAGCTATGTACATGTAAGAGATCAAGATCATTTTTATCCTCTCATCGCGCCCATCATAGCACCCATCATTGCTCCTTGCACTGGATTCATTCTTCCAAAACCACCTTGCATACCGTATGGACTGCCACCATAGGGGCCACGGTTGAATCCTCCACCATAGCCGCGGTTAAATCCGCCACCGTAGGGGCTCCGTCCGAATCCACCACCATAGGGACCACGTCCACCTAAAAACGAAATCTGATTTGTGGAAACACGAAGAATTGGCGAAGAAATGACACACAAGAACGAGATACAGTGCGTTACCTACCGTAAAATTGTCCAGCTACCGTCACCACGCAGATGGCAACCAAAAGAAAGCTAAGCAGACTGTGCATTATCTGTAAAAGTAGAGTAAGGGAAGGGAAGATATGTTGGACCGAGAACAACTCCATAAGTCAGTTGGCAGAGAACAGGGTAAAAATCAGAAGAGTAGGATTTTTTGTTTTTTGTTGGAAGAAAACAACGCAAGCATTCGCAACGTGAAGAGCGATTACCAAATAAAACAGGGAAGGGTAGGGTCATGCAAGGCGTAGCCGCCTAGAATGGGCCATGCCTTCGACATCCAGCTCCATTTTGCTTACCAACTGCCTGATTGTAAGTATTGGGCCATTCAGTTTTGCGTCAGCATTACCCATTCGTCTTCAATATTGCACTATCCTCCGGTTTTTGTAAACATTTGAGGGATCCTTGTGAAAATGTGGATGCGCTAGTTTGTTTGCATCCTTCATGGGATAATAAGATACTATGGAACCCGTCCGATAATTATTTCGGCGCTGATTTTCTCACAGAAGCCCTTATATCCTTTGGGTACAGGCTAATAATGTGACCGTTCGAGGAGCAAAAAGTGAAGCCTAAACTTTCTGCACCCCTTATGGAATAATTGTATTGTCTGAAACTTCTACAATGGAATAAGTTCAGTGCTGGAGACATCTCACAGGAGATCTTATGGTCTCATCATTCAGGTCAGGTAAAATGAACATAGATGGGTTCGTAAGGGAAATGGAAAGAGAATGAAGGTAAATGAGCTTTTCAACAGCGTGTTTGGTGATTGCATGGTGTCCCTCAACCTTTATATAGGCAACAATCGTCTAGTCAATCGACACACGCGATCAGTTACCGCTTTTGTTGTCGAAGAAGAAAGTGACCTTGGCTACTGGGCATAGCGGCTTATTTCACATACGGTTTACACTAAATGACGTGCGCATTAAATGAACACAATGATACCGTTTCGACAACAAGCTTCACTAAAATTGCGCCAACTCTTTAATGCTTGATAACACAGCCCGAAATTCACTCTATGCATTAAAATGTTCACGTGGCGCACTTCGCCTTTGTTCCGATTCGGGCAAGACAACTGACCACAATTAAACCCTTAAGATGGTCGGTGCAGTCAGCTAATAGTAAGTCAATATTCCTGTCTTCTCACGATCATATGATTCTGTTATTGATAGCCTGCATTGAGAGATAGCGCGGTGTTCGTTTCATAGGATACGACACCTTCTCACCGTTCCTTCTCATCATGTTTTGAAGGGAGAGAACTTCAAAGGATTGACCCGGCGGGTGATCCCGAAACAGTTGAAATGAGCAACCGCGCAAGATTTTGCCCGCTTTCGCGCCATTCGAGTTCGAGATTCGAGTTCGCTATTCGCCACTCGAGAAATTCTTTCAGACATTTTACATGATATGGCTTTGCAGAAGAGCTCCGAGGATCTCCTTGCTTTTCGATAGAAATCAAAGGCCGTGTCACGAGAGAAACACCCATTTCTGTCAAATGCTTTCGTGCTCTGCCATCAAATCTTCGAAACTTTATCTCTTCAACGGAACAATTTTTCGTGCGTGTGAAGGAATCAAAAATTCATTCTTGCGTGGAAAATGTGGAAGGCCTCATCTGTGCGGTATCAGGCCAAACCGGACCCTAGTCCATTCAGCTGCGCTGCATCGTTATGCAAAAATCGACTCAATTTTCGCCATGGTTTCCTGCCATGCATGGTGCATT